GACCATCCCCCCTGGGGGGTGATTTCTCGCTTTCTGTCTCTCTGTCTCTCTCTGTCTGTCTGGCGAGCGCACGCACCCTATAGCGAAAACCTCTCCAAAAAAAAAATCCCATCCAAACCCTGTAGAAGGGGCCTCTCTCTCCCTCCCTCTTACTTTTACTCTATGATGAATAAAGAAAAAAATTTTAATAAATCTTAAAAATAAATAAGTAGCTGAAATAGAGAGTAACCAGAGGCTCTATTTTAGACAGGGTGGACAGGAAAAGCTTTTCTGCGGAGGGAGTCTATTGGATGACCTGAAGGATCAGAAGAAGCCTCAGCAAGAGTGGAGAAAAAAGTTATTCCAACTAAGGGAATAGCATGTGCAAAGGTTCTGAGGCAGAGAAATCCTGGTGTTTAAGAAGCTAAAAGTCGGGACCAGCAGTTAGCATAATGGCTATGTCGCTGGATTCCCACGTAGTCAACCGCAGTTCGTGTCCCGAACCCGGTGGCTTAAAACTCACTCCAGGGGCATGTGCATGCATGCCCAAGATTCCGAGAGGAGAATGGAGGAGAAGGGATTGCGGTGTGGCCATCCTCCCTGGGGGGTGATTTCTCGCTTTCTATCTCTCTGTCTCTCTCTGTCTTTCTGGCGAGCGCACGCGCCCTATAGCAAAAATCTCTCAAAAAAAAAAAAAGGAAAAAAAAAGAAGCTAAAAGTCTAGCATGGTTAAAGTGCAGTGAGCAAGGGTGTGATCAGGGTGATCTCGGAGAGACAGACAGTGACTAGGTCATGCAAATTATGGTGAGGAGTTTAGAGGAGATCATGCAAATTATGGTGAGGAGTTTAGTCAGTAGGGAGCCATTGAAGGATTTTTAAGGGGGAGAAAATGATACCTCTACAGGCATGTGACAAAGGAGCTAGAGGAAGGCAAGAGCCAAAACAGAGTAAGTAAGAGTCCTACATGGTTGACTGCAGTTCAAGTTCAAAACCTGCTGGCTTGCTTTCTCACTTTCCTTCTCTCCCTCTATGGTCAAATGTTTAAAAATAAATACTCATAATAATAAATTAAAATAAAATAATTCTTTAAGAAAAGAAGTCTACTGTAGCAGCCTGGTCTATGGTGGTGGAAGCAAAGATAGAAGGGGATGTTTGAGGATTTAGCAGGTGGATCTTAGCAGATCTTAGGAAGGTGAACTCAGCAGACTTACTGAAAGAAATAGACTTACTGAGGGATAGCAGCAATTAGGATGCTTGCTAAGCTTCTGACAGGGCCTGGCTGGACGGTGGTATTTTTTATTTAGATGAGTAGGGATGGACCAGCAGATGGCGTAATGGTTATGCCACTGGACTCCGTGGTTATGTCACGTATCAACCATGGTTCAAGTCCTGGACTTGGCGGCTTAAAACTCACACTGGGTGCATGTGCATCCCCAAGATCCTGAGAGTAGTATGGAAGCAAAAGGAATGCAGCACAGCCACCCACCCCCCCGGGTGGGGGTTGATTTCTCACTTTCTGTCTCTCTGTCTCTCCGATGAGTGTGCACATCCTATAGCAAAAATCCCTCTGGAAAAAAAAATGGTGAGAAGGGATATATTTAAAGGACTGACATTTTGAGTCAAGTAAGAGTTCTGTTTTAGACACATTAAGCTTAATTCACTGTGCAACATCCAAATAAAAATATCAGTAACAGATATGTAAATCCAGAGTTCAGTGGCGGGCCTAGAGGTATAAATTTTGTGTGTTATGCATAAAAATGCTATTTAAATCCATGAGAAATTTTAAAATCACCTGGTAAGAGAGAAAAAGAGGGAATTGAAAGAAAGTTCAAAAAGAATAAAGTGTTATAAAGAGACAAAAAGACCTAGAAGCGAACCTTAAGAATCCAACATTCAAAGAATGAAAGAGTAGGAGGAGACCCCAAGGATATAAAGGAAAAGTAACAGAAGTGAAGAGAGGAGTGCTTCCAGATAGGGACAGTCTGTTGAACTGAAAGCTTCTGAAAGATCTGAATTATAGAGACCATCTCCCTCTTTCTTATTTCTGCCCCTTACTCCTCCTTCAAAGGAGAATAATCAGACCTGTTTTTAGGCGAAGTGCTCTTTTGATGACAGACAGAATAACAAATGCATACTATTACGAACTATTTCAGACAATCCAAGAAAAGGTTATATCCTCTCCCTTTCCTTTCCTTTCCTCTTTTCTTTCCTCTTTCCTTTCCTTTCCCTTCCTTTCCTCTTCCTTCTCTTTCTATCTTTTCATGGGTGAGGTGTTCTTGGACCCTTTCTGTGCACCCTTTGCAGTCTCATTTATGAGCAAGTCTTTAACAATCATCCGTACGCTATACCAAAACTCAAATTTCATACCAAACCCAATCCCTCTCTCAGAATTCATGGTCTCATTCTCAATTTTCTGCTAGACATTTCTACATCAGAGTCATAGACACTTTTTTTTAAGAGGTTTTTGCCATAGGGCACATGCACTTGCAGAGACACAGAGAGTTAGAAAGTGAGGCATCACGCCCCAGGCATAATGGTCACATCACAATCCTTCTCCTCCATTCTCCTTTCAGAATTTTGGATATGTACACATATCCTCCCAGTGCAAATGTCAAGTCACCAGGTCCAGGACTTGAACTGCAATCAACTATGTGAGAGTCCAGCGTGTTAACCACTATGCTCACCTAATGGACCCATACTGACTTTTTTTTTTTTTTTTTTTGGAGAGGTTTTCGCTATAGGGCGCATGCGCTCGCCAGACAGACAGAGAGAGACAGAGAGACAGAAAGTGAGAAATCACCCCTCAGGAGGGATGGTCACGCCGCAATCCCTTCTCCTCCATTCTCCTCTCGGGATCTTGGGCACACACGCACACGCGCCCGGCGTGAGTTTTAAGCCACTGGGTCCAGGACATGAACTGCTGTTGACTACGTGGGAGTTCAATGACATAGCCATTACGCTAACTGCTGGTTCCCCCGTACTGACATTTTAATGACCATTATTTGGGTCCAGACGGTGATGCAGTGGTAAAACGCAATACTCTGCAATGCAGTCCTACACAGGAAGGTTCCTGACTTAAGGCTAGTGACCTCCTTGGTGTGCCAGGTACACACTTTCCCATAATCCAGGACTGGCTGAAGGCTGGGGTGGATCACAGCATCTAAGACCTGCTGTGGGTGCTTCTCTCTCTCTCTCTCCCCTCTGGCTTTCTAACACACAGAAGGAATAAATAAAATAAACTTTTAAAAATAACAATAAATAACCATTATTTGCAAAGCTAAACTCTGCTTTTGCCTCAAACCCTTCTTTTTTTTTAGTATCCTATTTTTATTTATGGTGCGACCATCTTCTTACTTGAAATTTTCAAGTCATTGTTAACATAGTCTTCCTCGTCATTCCAGACAATCTATATATGTATTCCTACTGAGCTTCCTAAACATGTCTATTCAATCCCCACTCCCACTCGTGTCTCTTAGTTGATCGCTGCACCTCTCATTTTTCCCTCTTTCACTCTATTCTATATATTTTCTGCCATAATTTAAGTTTCTAAAAGCATTACGTACATCATTTAAGGACCCTTTCATGGGTGTAAGAGCTTAATTTATAAATTATGTAGAATAGGAGTGTAATAAAATAATTAATAAAATATAACAATTATAATAATATATTGTTATAAAAGTTACATGAATGTAGTGTCTCTCTCAATAGCTCATTGTACTGTTGTCAACCTACTTTCAGACCACAACTGACTGCAGGTAACCGGAAGAACAGAAAGCAAAGCCCCAGATAAAATAGGACTACTATACATAGAAAACTCCAAAAATTTCACACAAAAAAACTGTTAGAACTAATAAGTATACAGTAAATTTTCAAGGTACAAAGTCAACACACCGACATTAGGAGTGTTTTCCTCTGTAACTTCAAGTTAATCACGTCATCTATTTGAGCCTTATTTTCCTCACCTAAAAAATTCATAATAATTTCTTTCTAGATCAGCAATGTAAGGAAGTTTAAATAAAACCATATATATGAAAAAAAAAGAAAAAGAAATTAGAAGTGTTTTTATATGCTAGCAACAAACTTTTTAAAAAAGAAATCTAGGGGGAAAAATTCCATTTGCAATATAGGTAGTAAATAAAATGCTTAATTAAACCAAACAGGTGAAAGACCTATATGCCAAAAATCTATAAAACATTAACAGAAAGAAATCGCACAGGCCACTTATTCTCTTCAGATTCTCTAAGCTCTAACTCAGTTGAACAACTTATATATTCCAGAACTTGCCCCTATTTATTTCACTGCTGTGCAGCTGGTCACCTGTTTCCCATCCTAGATCACTTTCTTTGTCGTTTCTGGTTCTCAAAATGTTACCCCTCATCACAGTCCTTGTATAATGATATCTCCCCAGTAAAGACTCCGTGACCCCTCGAGTTAGTAATAGCCAATCTGTTCCTTGAATTCTCATAGCAGGTTATTTGTGCCTCCATCATACGCCTGTCTTGCCCTATTTTGTCTTAATTATTTATGTGTGACATGTCTCCCTTACTATGTCATAAATACCTTAGGACAAGAACTCTGTACCTCTCATTTTTGTTCCACTACAAATCATAACACATGCCTTGTACCCCCCCAGACATTCAGGAAACGCCTGCCAAGTAGTGAATGAACAGCCTTAATGAGCATAAGTTATTGTTCTGTGTACTGATCCAGTCCTAGATCCATGGTGCTATCACTTCTGAATCAGTGATGGTTATCCACTTACTTAAGTAACCTTTCTTTGAATACACTTAGAAAAGATGGAAAACTGTGTTATAAGGGAGGACCAAGTATGTAGGTTATTCCTTTCCTTAAACAAAGAGAAGTCCTGTTTTGCGTCATGGAAAACTAAAGCATAGCAATAAAAAGCACCAGCAAGACTTGTAGAATAAGATTTAGTGAGGACGTTGCTTTGCCTCCTGTTCAGAGGTCCTAACTCTCCTGTCAAGTACTTAAGCTGCACATTCTGTTGATTTTGTTTTTAGATTACATTGACAACTATTGGCTACGGAGACAAAACTCCACTAACTTGGCTGGGAAGATTGCTTTCTGCAGGCTTTGCACTCCTCGGCATTTCTTTCTTTGCACTTCCTGCCGTGAGTATCTTTGCATCAAAAAGCAATTTAAATGAGGTCTTAGGGGTTTAATAGAGTGAGCGCTCACAAATTGGTTTGCTTGAGAACATATCTTTATCATTTACAAATATAATTTTTCTGACTTAATATTGACTCTTCTAAATATATCCAGGTAGGTAAGTTATAAAATAGGATGTCACTTGGAGACACTTAACCTGAGACTTTAATATCTGCTAGGTCTTTGTGACCTAGTAATTCAGATAACATTACATGTCAACCTGCTACTATTACACTTACAATTATTTGTTAAGATTTAAATATACATTCTTTAAACGGATGGCTCCAATTGGGCTTGTAATGTGTGTAACTGAAGAGAGGGATGTGCACAAGTGGAGTATTTTCCTCTTCAGAATAATTTGAGTGAAAAGCGTGTGACCTTAAAGGGTTTTCAGTGTGTGAGATGATTTATTCTGTGTCATCATTATTGATTTTCCTTAATGAGCAGTTTCTGCATCTCATCACAATGAAGAGCACATTTATCTTCCCCCCAGCTTCTGATTATTTTCTTCTTAATGAATGAAGCTTGCCTTTCTGATCATTTTATCCTCTTGTTTCTTTAAAGGCGGTTTCTTTAAAGGTCATATTATTACAATTAGATCCCATGCCCAAGCTCTCACTTTTGTTCACACCACCTGAGGTGGAGGTGGGGCAAGTAGTAAAAAAGAAAAAAAAAAAAAAAACCACTTAAGGAGGTGACCGCAGGCATGTTGTGCTGTGCCTAAGGACATAAACCAATGCTATGGCAGTGTCTGCCGAACAGAGACGCCAGAGCACCTCTGGAAAGGAAGCCAAGGGAGTGGAGAGGTCAGATGGGGATTTTCAGCACCACAGCCTTTAGTGCACAGGCCTTCTCCTCTGCCTGTTAACGCATGTTGAAAACATTTTTGTCCTTCCTGCTACCAGCGTCCAGCTTTGAATCAACCACCTAGTTCTGCCCCAGACCACTCAAAATCACAGAAAATAGACTGAAAAGATCATGCATAAGCTTGAGTATGCAACCTCTGTTTTTGTCACATACTAACTATATGAATGTATTAGCATGCTAGGGCTGCTATAACAAGATACTACAGACCGGGTGACTAAACAAAACTTACTGTCTCACAGTTCTGGAGGCTAGAAGTCCAAATCAAGTGATGGACGTGATTAGCTCCTGTGAGAGCCATAAAGAGAAGGAACTGTTTCATGCCTCTCTCCTTGGCCAGCAGATGGCTATCTTCTTACTGTTTCTTTACATCTTCTGTTTCCAAATTTCCTCTTCTTCTGAGGACACCAATCTTAAAAATTAGAGCTCATTTTAATGACTTCATTTTAAGTTGATTGTCTTTAAAAGGATCCAGTCTTCAAATAAGGGCATCTGCTGAGTTCTTAGGAAAAAAGGACTCTTGCATGAGAATTTGCAGGGGAGTGGGAGTACAATTCAGCTCAGACAGTGATCTTGAGTGTACTTCTTCACCAATATAATGGAGGAATAATTATTGAGCCCAGAGAAATATCATGAAGACCAATGTGATAATGTAAATCAAGTGCTTGTTATGAAGAAAACTCAGTGGTGTTGTTTAATTTTCCTTAACCTGTATAAATCTAGAAATACATGTTTCATGATAGAAAAGATGAAATCAAGGAGAGTCAAAACTAGTCATCCAAAGTTACCTCCTGTGGCAATATGAGCAATCTAGAACAGCGGAGACCCACTAAATGACCAGATTCCCCACAGGAAAATGTCTTTAAAAATGTAGAGTGAAATGTAGTCTTGGTGTGTTTTTCTTCCCCCCAAAAAAATACCTGCTGCTCTTGTGTTTATGTTTGTCCTGAGCCACATAGAGAGCAACTTCTATGATCCAGCATAAAACAATGAACAAGAAAGTAAGCAACCAACCTCTGGGTCATTAAAATAGACTATGGTATATTTGCTGTTCCGTAGGGAGCCTCTTGAGACCTAATTCATAACCTGGTCTTCCTTTAGAGAAAATTCTGATAAACTGTCCTATATAGTTGCACAATTGTTTGAAGATTATAAAGAGCAAATGCAAAGGGAGGCTATCAGAACAAACATTACAATAGGAAGGGATGGTGAAAGACTAACAGCAAGAGAAGAAAAGGAAAATCTGTAAGAAACAAGCAGACATTAATGCTTAAAATGTGTAAAGACTTGGGGCTAGTTAGTACTAGGGGCAACCCACCTCTGGAAGCTGGCTGCATTCAGCCAGCAAAATACCTACTCTCCATAATGAAACTCTGGACTATCACAAGGAGGCTGAACTGTGTCACTATGTGAGGAAAAAAAATCAGACACTGAGGAGTCATTTTTGGAAATATTTCCAGTAAGTTTATTACAGTTTTTATATGCAAATTAAATGAACACATGTTGGAAGTCTGAAGAACTTCCTTGCACAGAACATACCCATACATTGCCGAGAAGACTTGCCTCTACCTGGAAGCTTTTACTGCAACCTCACAGTGGATACTGAGTGTTTACTTAGCAAATGAAAGAATAAATATTCTATATACGCATTAAAAAAAAAAAGATGGCTGGAAATATTATGTCCTGCCTCTGCCTATCGACAGGGTAATTTGATTGAAATTTAGGAGAGCATATTGGCTTTTTGCTGAGAAAGTTAAAAGTAGATTGTGGGCCGCCCCTGTTTTCTACCACCCTGGAAACCTAAGGACGAAAGAAGAAAAGATGCTTTTCCTGCCTTAACCCTCAAAGCAGAAAGCCTGCTGCACTTCCAGAGTCACAAAGGCCACCCAGCCAAGCTTCACTGAGAGTCCCTTTCCCTGAGGCCCATTCCTTCTTTGGGCTAATGAGCTTGCAGAGGTGGCTCCCATCCTCTTGCTGCCTTTATAACCAAGACTTTTCCCTCTTGAGGGTACATCCTTCTTGCCTAGTGGATACTCCTACTAAGGGTATCTTTTTAATGATTAAAAACAAAACAAAACAAAAAACCTGAATTTTACACAGAGATATCCAGCTGGTAAGTTTAGTACAATGACTGACTCTGTTTGACTGGAGATATTAACCATTCAATAAGTAAATCTCAGCCACTATAATTAACAATAGTAACAAATGTAATTGTTGTACATAATAAAATATTTTAAAATGTTCTTTAAACTTTTTTAAAAAGTTGTTTTTAAAAAGAGTTTCTGTGTAGCCTGTTTACCATGTATGGAGTACAGGTTAGGATAACCATTTTAAATGTTCACCAAAACATACCTCCCTTCTACTTGGTGTTTATGCTGCACTTCTCAGCACAGGACTAAAGTTTAAAGCCTAAAAAGGTAAGTCTTATAGTCTTAGAAAATGAATTAAAATACAACTTAAATTCTAAGAACTGAGGTCAATATTTGAAGGGATGATAATAGGTTTAAGCCCTGGTGTGTGTGTGTGTGTGTGTGTGTGTGTGTGTGTGTGTGTGGTGTGTATCTCATACAGACTTTATTTTGACAGGCATTAGCCAGGTGCACTGAACTGTGTACTAAGAGATGTGGAAGGAAATTGGGATCAAGCCATAATGAGACAATGAGCAGACCTGGTTTAATAACTGTTGTAATGTACAGTCTGGCACAGGAGATGTGTAGCAAACATTTGCCGTCTACTAATATATGTTTCTAAGCAATGCCAATGTGATTTTCAGCACATCTTGGCTTGGCAGAAGCTAAATTTGTGCTATTGTAGAGCCTGTCTTTATTTTCCAAAGGGGATTTAACTCTGGATCACATATCCACATAATGAGTGCTCAATAGCAGTAGCTATTGCTGTTGACATCTACAAACTCTGAATTATGCTGCCTACGAGTGGATTATATATTATACATAAAGGCATATAATGTATGTGCATAAAATATGTATTTTAAATATATGCTATAAATTCTGATGTCTCTGTTCTCTTATATGTTTGTACTTTGTGAAAATGACATTAAAAGGAAAATAAATTGGGGCCAGCAAGGGCCATGGTGGTTAAGGGTGCTGGACTCCCACGTGACCAACCATTACTTGAGTCCCAGACCTAGCGGTTTGCTTTCTCACTTTCTCTCTCTCTCTCTCTCTCTCTGTCTGTCTTTCTCTCTCTCTCTCTCATTCTGGTCAAATCTAAATAAATAAATAAAGTTAAATGAAATAATTATTTTTAAAAAAGGAAAATAAATCAAACTTTCCTAAATGATCTCAAATAGCAGAAAAAAATTAGGAGTTACAAATGACTGGAGTTGATCTGGATTTGGAAATGAAAAGAAATGTTTAAATTTATAAACCTAGGGGCTGGCAGCTGGCATGGCGGTTAAGGTGCTGGACTCCAACATGGATGATTGTCGTTCGAATCCCAGACTTGCTGGCTTGCTTTCTTACTTCCTCTCTTTCTCTCTCTATGCCTCTCTCTCTTGTAAAATTGAATAATAATAATAAATAAATAAAATTAGATAAATCATTCTTTTAACTCTACCAGACTATAGAGACCAGGTTCTTAAAATGCTTAGTTTGTGCAGTCACAACCTATATGCAATGAGCATTTACACAGCATGAGGACAGTTACTGAAAAAAGAGAGATGAAAAACAGACCTGTGATATAACTTCTCATGTAATGGAACAGTCATTTAAACTGACTAATAACAGAATAAATCATCACTCATTAATAGCAAGTAGCATTATTATATTATTATGTATTTTATATGTGATTGCATTACTTATCATCTGATCATTGTCACAGATGTGCTCAGGACTGTGAAATCTCAAGATAAGAAAAAGGGTTAAAGGTTATCTAGTGCCCAGAATATCTCAGCCAAGTCGTTATCCAGCCGAGACATAACACCTCCTGCAGATGAAAATCGCCCACCTTCCCAGGAAGCCTGAACCATTTTTTAGCTACTTTAGAAATATAAAGGCAAGAAAAACAACCATTTCTTACCAGTGGCAAATACTGACTTAGTGCTTATAAAATGCTCATCTCTAACCTAAGGGTTAGATGCCTTGAAGTTTAATAAAAAGCTAATAATTTATAGCTAGCAAGTAAAACCCACAAACTTGAAAGCAGTGGAGCTCCAAGTCCCATGCCAATAAAGTTGAGTGTTACAGACAAAGCTCAGAGACTGAATTTAGCAAGCTTCGAAAGCCAACCCAAGGCCCAGACAAAGCATCTTCATCCCACAAATGTTCGACCAAAGCGAACTGAAAAAAGGGAGGAACATCAAAGAAACAGAATTTTGGCAGATCGAGATGATAAACAGATGGAAAGCAAACTAGCCAAAAAAATTTAAAAAAAAAAAAACTAAAGTAAACATAGGAGGAAATACTAATCTTACTAACCCCAAAATCTGAATAAGTGAGCCAAAACCAAAACAGCCAGGAATGTTACACATGTGAGATGAAAACTGAAGAAACTAGGAAGGTGTGTGGCAAAGGACCATGCTTTTATCTTTTTGTTTTGGGGTTTAATTTGCCAGAGGGTGAGTGAGCTCGCTGGAAAGAGACAGAGAGAAAGTACGAAGCTATCTCACATGGGGGATGATCATGCCACACTCTCTTCTTTGAGGATTCTGGGCACACATGCACATACATGCTCCTGGCATGTTTCTCAAGTTGCTGGGTCTAGGACTTGAACCAGTTGACCATGTGGGATTGAGCCACCATAACCACCATGCCACTGACTGGTCCTTTATTCTTATCTTTATTGTTAAACTAGCAAAAGTGAAGTCTTCTGTCATCCAAGTTGAATGTCTGTCTGTCTCATCTGGATAACTGTCCCCTCTCCTTTTACTTTACGTTGGCAGGTGTAGAATTATAGCATCATGGAGGACTAAATTGGGACAGATTTTAAACCCTCCCTTCTCCTCCATTTCATGGATAAAGAATATAAATTTTCAGAGTTTCATCAAAGTGCTAGAAATATTCCCATCTCCACAGTAGTAAGACTTGAACTCTCACAAATTAAAAACCAATTCTTTCTAAAACCTGAATTCTTGTCTCATAAATCCTATTACTGATAAGATCATTCATTCTATTATAGGCCTAAAGCAATGTCTAACAGAAAGCCACACACACACACACACACACACACGCACACACACGCACACAATTTATTGCCATTTTTATTTGTAAATATGGTGCATCTTACTATGCCATAACAGACAATAAATGACAATGCCTCATTGATTTCCTAAAGAACTAAAGTTGTTATATTGCCGAACAACTTACCATTGGTTTATGGTGCTAGAATAGATATAAATAGCATTTTTTAAGTAAGTAGCATGTTTATGAACAGGTTACATTTTATTTGTTTTCTCACTTCCAAGGCTTTTTTTTTTAATGTTGGTATTATTTAACAGTGATTTTTCTCATTTTTATTAAGGTGTTATTTTTGTATTTTGTTTCAGGGCATCCTTGGCTCAGGTTTTGCATTAAAAGTACAAGAGCAGCACCGCCAGAAACACTTTGAGAAAAGAAGGAACCCAGCTGCCAACCTCATTCAGGTACACGTCAATTTAATAGGTAGACTGCAACATCTGTCTCCCTCAGTGCTTGCTGGGTCATTTTCCAACCTCTGTGCGTCATTGCCTAGAGAGATACTGTTTTGTTCCTTTTTAAAAGATGAAGTCAGACCTTAATGTACAGTCTTGAAGGTGGGTAGGTGTTCTCCTTCTCCCAAATATAAACATATATGTTTGCCGTAAATGGTCCTTGCATTGTGCAGATTGATTATGCCAGAAAGACCATGCAGAGGTTAGTGATTGTGTTGCTCCTGGAACGACCTCATTATGTCTTATGAATTACTTGGTGAAACATAATTGATCATTAAGTGATGAAGCAGAACATGGCATTGTTCCCTGAATTAAAATTACTTTCTCAGCCAAATGTATGCCCCTTGTTCTGAAGAACAATACTATTTGTTTAGAATGTCAAGGTTTGGTAAGTGTGGAACTGGTTTTTATGCCATATAGGGCAATAACTTGAAATAGTTATCCTATTTTTAGAAGTTGATGGGAATCTATAAGAATATGAAATTTAAAAAACCTATCATTTTACTATTTAAAGCTAGCTCATAACATAGTGTTTTTTAGCATTTCATTTTCTCATCAATAACTCAGAATTTGCTTCAGCACTCAAAAGAATGTTTCTCTGTTTGCCATACATATCTTTTACAAATAGAACCAGGTTAAGAATCACAAAATATATTTTTCACTAGATCTAGAATGTGGTGTTGACATTTAATTATGAACAAGAGCATTCTACAATCTAAAGTTTCTTCCTCTCGAGCAGAAGCTCCAGGACTTCTAAACCCGAGGAGTTTGGGGTCACACTCTATCATGCTAGATCTGTCTTCACACTGTAGTAACAAATGCATCGTTTTAATTTAGATTGTAGATTGAGTGGATAGTGGTTAGACGATAACCACCATGAGCTCTCTCCCCCAGCCTTTATCTCTGAATGTGGCATGCAGTATCCCCTGCAAACTGCAACTAGGGAAAGGAGGGGTGAGTGTGGCTCAATTATATCATAAAGGAGATCTGTTTGTAGCTAACGACTAAATTGAAATATTAATTTTAAAAACAAATTGTTCTGCAATGACCTGTATCGACATAAAGAGAGACCATCGGGGGCCAGCAGGTGCTGTGGTGGTTAAAGGCGCCGGACCTCCACACGGCCTACCATGGGCAAGCCCCAGAATGGGCGGCTTGCTTTCTCACTTTCCCTCTCTCTCTTTGTCTTTCTATGGCCACATTTAATAATAATAATACTAACAATAAATTCTCTTTAAAATAGATCACTGGATGTGACTTCTGTTCTAAACCACTGAGAGTTCCCATCATTCTCTTTTTTTAAGAGATATTTTTGCCATACAGCATGTGTGCTCACTGGAGAGGAAGTGACAGAGATAGAAAGTGAGAAATCACCCCCCACCCCACCGCCCCAGATAATTGCCCTGCTGCAATCCCTTCTCCTCCATTCTCCCTTAGGATTTTGGGCACCTATGCACATGAATCCAGCGTGAATTTTGAGCCACTGGGTCCGGGACTTGAACCGTGGTTGACTATGTAGGAGTCCAGTCATATAACCATTATGCCATCTGCTGGCCCCCCATTGTTTTAATTTTTGGATTTTAAAAGGGCACTAAGGACAATATAAACTTTATTTTCTCACAAGAAAAGATGTGTAGGCAGTAGGAGTCTAAAATCTGATGCTAAGCAATAATCAGAATGAAAAGAGGAGTCATTCACTTTAAGACGCACATGAGGGAACCAGCAGTTAGCGTAATGGCTATGTCGCTGGACTCCCACGTAGTCGACCGCGGTTCGTGTCCCGGACCCGGTGGCTTAAAACTCACGCCGGGCGCGTGTGCGTGCGTGCCCAAGATGCCAACAGGAGAATGGAGGAGAAGGGATTGCGGCGTGACCATCCCCCCTGGGGGGTGATTTCTC